ATGGCTTAAAGCAGCCGCATGTTATTTATTTATTTACCCTTTTTTTATATAAATTTACGTACTTATTACTTCCTGTGTATCCCGCCTTTATTTATTTATTTAGAAAATTGAGATTGCTCCCTTATTCGCACATGGTGACTCAAGGCAGCTTACAGGAATGTAAAAACATCACAGATTAAAAAATAAATAAAACGAATAGAAGAAAACAATCAATTAACAAATGAATAAAATATAATATTTTTTTAAAAAAAGAACCAGGTCTTCAGCTGCGTGCTTGCCCTCACTCACATGGCAGCATCTAGAGGGCAATGCGCACAGGGTCCCCCGCCCTCTGCGCATGCGTGCACACACCCCCCCGCTGCCCTTTTACCTGCACTGTGCCTCCCAGTTGATTTTCGGCCGGTTTGAGGCCTTTTTCAGCCTGCCAGAGGCTTGAGGGAAACCTCTGTAGGCTTTGCAGGTTGAAAAATAGGCCCATTTCATCACTTCCTGTATTTCCGGAAATACCGGAAGTGACGAAACGGGCCTATTTTTCAGCCTGCAAATCTTGCAGAGGCTTCCCTCAAGCCTCTGGCAGGCCAAAAAAGGCCTCAAACCGGCCAAAAATCAACTGGGAGGCACGCACATGTGCACTGAGGTGAATTTGCCTGGGGCTTGCATGCCCGCACAAATGGCTCTGCGTGCCACCTGTGGCACACGTGCTACAGGTTTGCCATCACGGCCCTAGGAAATGGGACCCACAACATTCCTTGCCTCCCCGCTCTGGTGGGTCAAGTAGATGTGACCAGCAAGAGAGGGTCCCTCAGATAACCTTATTATTTTTACAAATAATTCAAGACAGCAAACATACCTACTATTCTCCTCCTTCCTTCTCTTTTCCCCACAACAGCAACCCTGTGAGGTGGGCTGGGCTGAGAGAGAATGTCTAGCCCAAACTCTCCCCCCCACCCAAAGCTGGCTTTCATGCCTAAGGGAGGATTTGAACTCATGGTCTCCCAGTTTCTAGTGCGATACCTGAAATAACTAGACCAGACTGGGTTTTCCTAAGATCCTGGGGCAGCAGCAGAGGAAATCCGGGGAACGGATTGGGCTCCGTTGTGCAAAAAAGGGGTTTGACATTTGAAGCACCTTGCAAACCTTAATTCCAGGGACACCCACAAAAACCCGCCCCTTGGAGAAATTCTAAGCCTGATATATCTATGGCGATTCTCAGTCATCCAGGTCGTCCCAAAGGTGCTTCTTGGGTGAGAGAGCTGAAGAAGCTTCTTGGATGAGAAGTGAAACATCTTCAAAGAAAAACCAGAAAGTTCAGTTTCCTCTTGAAAAAAGCACCTTTGGGTCTAAGAATAGAATAGAATAGAATAGAGTAGAGTAGAGTAGAGTAGAATAGAATAGAATAGAATACCTTTATTGTCATTTCACTCCATGAGTACAATGAAATTTGAAAGCTACTCCAGCCCCAAACACCATACAACACACTACAGAGTATTTAAAAATTAAAATAATAATAATAATAATAATAATAATAATAATAATAATAATAATAATAGGGCTAAATCACAAATGCACTGCTTGATTCAAGACAATTACTGCCCTGGAAAAGAAACTGTTTCTCAATCTATTAGTCCTCCTTTTAAGACACCTGTAACGCCTCCCTGATGGTAACATGTCAAAATATGAGTGGTATCTATGCCTCTTATTAATATCAATCAGAATAGAGCTGGAAGGGACCTTGGAGGTCGTCTAGTCCAACCCCCCTGCTCAAGCAGGAGACCCTGTACCATCCCAGAGCAGTGGATGTCCAGAGCCTTCTTAAAAGCCCCCAGCATTCTCAACTTCTGGAGGCGAGCTGTTCCACTGGTTAATTGTCCTCACTCTTACCTTAATCCCAGGTTCCTTCTCTCCTTGATTAGTTTCCATCCGTTGTTTCTTGTCCTGCCTTCTGGTGCTTTGGAAAATAAGTTCACCCCCTCTTCTTTCTCACAGCCCCACAAATATTGGAAGATTGCTATGTATTTAAACAAATTTCACTTGAAGTTCTATTTTGTCACCACTTTCTTTGACTTACACTAGAAAAAAATGGCGGCATTACTGTATTCCACTGTGGGTTTTTTCTCATACGTGTTTCCATTCAAACAACCATTTTTCCCCTCATTCTGTTAAACTTTCTTCGTTAAAAATTGTCTAATTTTGATATTGGCATCACGAGGGAATACACCACATAAAAAGGGGTACGGTATAGAGGTAGTCGTCAACTTACAACTATAATTGAAGCCAAAATCTCCACTGCTCAGCAAGACAGTTGTTAAGTGAGTTTTGCCCCATTTTATGACCTTGCTAGCCACAGTTGTTAAGTGAATCACCAGAGTTGTTAAGTTAGTGTAATACAGTTGTTAAATGAATCTGGCTTCCCCACTGAGTTGTCAAAAGGTCACAAAAGTGATCGCATGATCTAGGGACTCTTCAACCGTCATAAATACGAATTGCCAAGCATCTGAATTTTGGTTACATGACCCTGTGGCTGTTGCAACAGTGAGAGAAATAGCCATGTCACTTTTTTCAATGCCTTTCTAACTTTGAACGGTCACTAAGAATGGTTGTAAGTTGAGAACTTACAAGTAGAAATATTTCAATTTTCTAGAATTGCTCAAACAGGAAATACAGTAGGCCAAGGTTATTTGTCTGTACTGATTACTTCATTTTATCAACCAAAAATGCATGAACCTAACCCAGCATAGTGACTAAACTTTAATATTTGCTTTAAGTTTACGTTCTGGTGTGAGCATTGCTGGCCAGGGAATTCTGGGAATTGAAGTCCATTAAAGAGGCCAAGGTTAAGAAACACCGCACTATAGTGTCTATTTTGTTAACACTAGAGATCTCTGTATCTGAAGGTAGGTGGCAGCACCAAGTTCGCCTTGGATATTCTTATAACCCCGGTTAGTATTTGAACAAGAGGCCACCTGGAAATCCCACCTGAAAAGTTAGAAAGGAGGGGAGGCACTGGATGGGCACAGGAAAAGAAAGAAAAAGAAGAGGAAACAATTAAAAAATGGGTGTAACAGTGGGGGGGAAATAACAATGTCTGGCCCTTTTCTTCGAACACACATGTATTTCTTTATAGCAGGCTTTTCCCTTATTGCCCTTCAGACATGTAGGACTTGAATTCCCAAGGCTGAGCTGGCTGGGGATTATGGGGTTCAGGATACCCAATTGCCCAGAGATAACATAACCCCATTGGGGAAGGCTTACTGGTATTTGTCAGAAATTGGGCGGGAGGGGGGGTTGGACTAGATCAGGGGTCACCAACTTTTGGGTGAGACCACCAAACTCATCATTTTAAATCCTGCGGACCAGAGACCCTGTGAAAATCCCCCCAAAAAAAGTCTGCAGGAAAATCCCCCACCCCGTTTTCCTACCCATCGATCATTCTTTATTTGGGATCGCAGGATACCGTCTCCAGCTCCGTTCTCAGGAGGAGAGAGGGAGAGGGAGAGAGAGACTTTTGGCTTCATGCAAGGAAAGCAGCAGAAGCAGCAGAAGTCTTTCTTTCTCTCCCACAAACTCTGCCAGAAATGAGTCTTGGTGAGTCAAAGCCTCTTGGTGCCTGAGGCCTTGCAGGGTCCCAAAGACTCATTTCTGGCAGAGTTTGGAGAAGAATAAAAAGACTTTTGCTGCTTTCCTTGCATGCAGCCAAAACCAGAAAAAGAACGAAGCTGAAAGAAGCAGCCTGGATTAATTGCTTTGAGGGTGATATTTCCCTTTTGTGGACCACCCAATGTTTCTCTCGGACCACCAGTGGTCACCCGGCCCACTGGTTAGCAACCACTGGACTAGATGACCTTCCAAGGTCCCTTCCAACTCTGATTATCTGTTATCTGGTGTCTCTCTCTCAGCGGGTTCACACAACGAGGCAAAGGAACCCCGTCGGCTCCCTTCTCCTCACCCGGCCAAAGAAACCCTCAGCTGAGAAAGGGCGGATTCCCACGACCCTCGGAACCACGAACTCCCCATCCGGCCTAGCGCCTCGGCCGAAGCAGCCAGCGGACGCTTCATCTGCAGGCAGCGGGGCCGAGAGGGCCTTCCACGCGCCCCCACCTACCCACTTCCACCCCCGGCTGACCCATAGAACCACCCCAGGCCACTCAGCCCCGGCGCCTTGCGAGGACGAGCCGCCGAGCGCGATCCGGGCCGCTGGTCTCCCGGGACGGGGCGGCAGGGCGGAGAACGCGGGGCCCAGATGCGCGGAAAGCAGCCGGGCGAGGAAGAAGGGGAGAGCGCGGAGGCCCCGGGTGGGGTCCCGTCCCCGGGCAAATGGGGAGGCCTCTGCTCGGAACTACCGCGGGGAGGAAAAGCAGCGGTGGCGGCGGCGCGCGATCGCCCAGCCCTGGCCGCCTCCCTCCCTCCCTTTCCCCCCACTCCTCAGTCCGCAGGTTGCAGGCCCGGCTCGGGATGTGGGGGGGACGGCGCTCTTTTTCCCCGGGCCGGGCACCGCCTCGGCGTCTCTCCGCTGGGAGCAGAGCCGCAAAGGGAGGCGGGTGTGCCCAGCCTGCGGGGTCCGGCCCTTTGTCCGCGGGAGAAGGCGGCGGCGGCGGCGGCGGCGGCGGCGGCGGCAGTTCCGCACTCGGTATAGGGCGGGTAAGAGAGGCGGCGGCGGCGGCGGCGGATGAGCCCTTGCCGGCCGCTGGGATGAGGCGGCGAGGGCCGAAACAAAGCCGAGGCTTCGGGTGACCTTGCGGGGAGGCGGAGGAACCTCTCCGGCGGGCTGGCTTAAAAGAGCCGGAGGCGGCGGAGGGGCGGCTGGCAGCCCCCGGCTCGGCTCCCTCGCTCCAAGCCCGCCCAACTCCGCCGAGGCGAGCGGCCGCCCGCCCCTCTCCTGCCCCGCCCCCTACGGACGTCTGGGGCGCCGGCCGGTCGTCGGAAAAGACAACCCGCCAGCCGCTGCCCCTGGACGCGCGTCCTCCGCCGGGTCTCCGCTCCAGCCAGCCAGCCAGCCCATTTGCCCGGACGCGGGCGGAGGCGATGCGCGCGGGCTAAGCATGAACTGCGGCGACGGAGGCAAGGAGATGGAGGGTAAGGAGAAGGGAGGCGTGTGCCGGAGGCTGCCGGGGGAAAAGCGTCCCCCCGGCTCTTGCCGGCTTGCTTGGCGGGGATTCGACCCGGGAAATCGCCCGCTCGCCCGGTCCGGCCGCCTTGGGAAGAGAGGAGGGGGATCGCGCGTGGAACTGAGAGATATGGGGGGTGGGGGTGTGACGGCTTGAGGTCCCCGATCCGCGGCTGGGGCGATGGGTGTGTGCGTGTGTGTGTGTGTTGTGTGTGTGTGTGTGGAGAGGCATCCTTTGCCTTTGCGAACCGTCTGCCGAAGCGGCGGTGGTTTCGATAGGTCTGCAAGTTGCGGCGCGCATCTTAGGCGGTTCCAGCGTTGAGAGACGGAGGGAGGAGGCGGAACGCGACAAAAGGGAACGGAACAAAAGGCCGGGTGGGGAGGGGGTGCCAGGTGTGTATGTGTGTGTGTGTGTGCCTGTGTCTGTGTGTGTGAGCAGGAGGAGGATGAAGGAAGAGACCGCAGGGCTAGACTATTCCAACCCTAACCCGTGGGGTCCTCGGGACTCTCCTTCCCATGCTCCCCAACCTCCAGCCGGGCATCGGTGTGAAAGACCTATAACAAACCAGCCGATTTGGGGAGGGGGGGGGAAGGGCGTCCTTGGGAGTGGAAAGAGATCCGCCACTCCAGGGTGGAAAAACGGGCATTTGTGGAGACGCGGCAGGTGAAGCAGGTGTGGCGGTCGGGTTTTCCCCTTCGGTTCAGGTGGATGAGTGGAAAAGCCGAGATCTCGACGCCCCCTCCCCATATTGGATGGAAGACCCACACACTCGTTTCCCCCCTTCCTCCACTACCCCCCCCTTTTTTTTTTTGCTCGGTCTTGACTTCTCTGGAGTTCGTATGCTCGCCTCTAAGCAGGGGAGAATTTGAAGGCAACGGGGCGTCCTATCACACCCTTTGTGGGGGGGAAAAAAGAGGCATGAATAAGAAAAGCCCCCCCCTCCCCCAGTTTACTGCGATCGTTTCAACGCCGTGCAAGGTGATCTCAAACCGGTGCCCGATCCGGTTTCTCCGAAACGGGGAGCAGGATTGCCCCTGTCTAATTCAGCGGCAAGGATTAACAGGGAGAGGTTTCCGGTGGAGCGGCTGCTTTGCAAAACCGATGCTATTTTTTTATTTTTATTTTTTTTTTAACCAAAGGAGCGAACAAACGTGTGAAGGATTCCAGTGTAGTTGGAGTCGCTGACTGCCGTGAAGGTGACTGTCGTTTTAAGCAAGCCGCTTTGCAGATTTTCCTTAAAAGAGTTTTTCCCCTTCCTTTGATCCGGCGTCGAACCAACTTAACTCAAAAACAGGAGCTTGCCTTGCCAGACCCCTGGCGTGTAAAATCCAGCATGCTGAGAAATACTACCGCTTTCCCCAGGAAGGGAGGGAATAAGACTTGGGGATTGGAACGAGAGCGATCTTGCAAAAGAGAGGGGGGGGGAGAGGGAGGGAGGGAGGGGGAAAGAGAGAGGGGGAGAAAAGGGGGGAGAAAGAGAGGGAGAAAGAGAGAGGGAGAGGGAGGGAGAAAAGGGGGGGAAGGGGTAAGAAAGAGAGGGAGTCAGAGAGGGGGAAAGAGTGGGAAGGGGAAAGAGGGGGAGAAAAGGGGGGAGAAAGGGGGAGAGAGGGGGGAGAAAGAGAGGGAGAAAGGGTGAGAAAAAGGGGAGAGGGGGAGAAAGAGGGAGAGGGAGAAAGAGAGGGAGAAAGGGGGAGAAAAGGAGGAGGGGGGAGAGAGGGAGAAAAAGGGGAAAGGGGGAGAAAGAGGGAGAAAGAGAGGAGAAAGAGGGAGAGGGAGAAAGTGGGGGAGAAAAAGGGGAGAGGGGGAGAAAGAGAGAGAGGAGAAAGAGAGAGGGGAGAAAGAGAGAGGGGAGAAAGAGAGAGGGGAGAAAGGGAGAGGGAGAAAGGGGGAGAAAAAGGGGAGAGGGGGAGAGAAAGAGGGGGAGAGGGAGAAAAGGAGAGGGAGAAGGAGAAAGAGAGGGGGGGGGAGAAAAAGAGGGAGAAAGAGGAGAGAGAGAGAGGAATGTTATTTGGACGAGTAGGCAGCCTTCTTAAGTCTCTTGCTCCTAATCAGTTTTGCAGCCCTGCCCAACTAATTCCAGTTGATTTCAACAGGATCAGTTGCCAAGAACCAGCACTGCAGCCTTAGCCCGAAACCGGGACCTGTTAAGTATATTTGCAGGGACTTAGATCCCACTCTAGCTGGAAAAGCTGCATTTTGAGCCATCCCAGGTGTCCAACCATAAACCTGCCCAAATCAGGTACGCTGGGAATGAAGACTCTAGAAAGAGGGCAGAGAAGAGCAACGAAGGTGATTAGGGGACTGGAGGCTAAAACATATAAAAAGAACTGGTGGCTGGAATTGGGTATGTCTAGTTTAATGAAAAGAAGGATAGCAGAATAGCAGCCTTCCAATATTTGAGGGGCTGCCACAGAGAGGAGGAGGGGGTCAAGCTATTCTCCAAAGCACCTGAGGGCAGGACAAGAAGCAACGGATGGAAACTAATCAAGGAGAGAAGCAACCTACAAAGGAGGAATTTCCTGACAATTGAGAACAATTCATCAGAGGAATGTCTTCCAGAAGCTGTGGATGCTTCATCACTGGAGGCTTTTAAGGAGAGATTGGACAACCATTTCTCTGAAATGGTATTAGATTTCCTACCTAAGCAGGGGGTTGGACTTGAAGACCTCCAAGGTCCCAGGGGGTTGGACTAGAAGACCTCCAAGGTCCCTTCCAACTCTGGTATTCTGTGTTCTGAATCTCCAGCTGATAACGGGGTAAAAACTGATGCATTAATAAATTCCTGCATTCAGTGCACTAGACAGAAACAACCTAAATGAGATTGGAATCTCATTCTCACCAAGGAGGGTTATATGCTGTCTATATATTTTTGGACTTGATGTAATCTTCAGGATATTCCACACCTAGTGGCTACGTTCACACATTTCGATAGGTTTTTGGAACAAACTGCTTTTCTGAATGTGCACAAATGTGCGTAAGAATGTGCATCCTGTTACGCAGGCTAAGGCACAGAAAAACCAACCACGGCTGACTGTGTCAAACAGAAGGCATGATCTCCTTAGCTTTTTGCTTGCCTGGTTCAGGATGGGCCAGTGCAGCTCAATCCAGAATTCCAGAGATATGTGTGTTTACACTGACAGATATACTGCATGAATACAGGGAGTCCTGAATTTAGAACCGTTCCTTTAGCAAACATTTGATCTTACAACAGCACTGAAAAAAGTGACTTCTGACCAGTCCTCCCACTTACGACTGTTGCAACATCCCCATGGTCACGTGTCAAAATTCGGCCATTTGGCAACTGGCTTTTGTTTATGATGGTTGCAGCATCCTGGGGTTAGGTGATCATCATTTGCAACCTTTTCCAGCCAGCTGACGACAACAGAATAGAATTAGAATAGAATAGAATTAGAATAGAATAGAATAGAATAGAATAGAATAGAATAGAATAGAATAGAATAGAATAGAATAGAATAGAATAGAATTAGAATTCTTTATTGGCCAAGTGTGATTGGACACACAAGGAATTTGTCTTGGTGCAAATGCTCTCAGTATACATAAAGTCAGGTCAATAAGGAAAACCAGATTTGCTTAACGACTGCCTGTTCGTTTAACAACTGCAGTGATTTGCTTCAGAAAGGTGTCATAAAATTGAGTGCAACTCGCTTAACAATCGCCTTACTCGGCGATGGGAATTCTGGTTCCATTTGTGGTCGTAATTTGAGGATGACCCATAGTTAGCTGATGAGTTGGCATTCTGATTCATGGATTGATCGACTGCATAAACCTGTACGGCGATTGGTTGTATTCTCGTACAGCGCTCTCACTCTTTAAATTCTTACACAACTGTGTTGGATTTACACCCATGCTTGGCTTGGGCTCAGCCTGCTGGGTTTGTGAAACACAACTGTGCGCGTTTGCTTGTTGGCTCACTTTGGACGATGTGTGACTCAGGCTACTCTGCCTTGCTCAACAAACCATGTTTAAAGACAGCTCGGCGCTGCTCAGAGCCTTGATGACAATAAAGAAAACCTAAAAGGGGGAAAATCGATAAGGAGGAATGGGTTGCACAAAGCCAATCGACTGGGAAAGTTTCAGAGTGCTTCAAATCCCACTCACATTAAATTCTCAGCAGAGCGGAAAGAGATGCTGTGCCAGATACAATGCGAGTGGCGCTGTGTCTGTATGCTAGAAGAGAAAACCAGGCCCTGCACGGCTCTTTTTTTTGTTTGCATTGGCGGTTTTCCCACTTGATGTCCTCCAGAAGTAACGGAATAACAGAGTTGGAAGGGGCCTGGGAGGTCTTCTAGTCCAACCCCTTGCTCAAGCAAGAAACCTATACCATTTCAGACAAATGCTAGTCTTGTCTATGGAGACTCTCGGTCATCCAGGTCATGGTTGTTCCGAAGAGACAACTGGACTTTTCTGGTTTTTCTTTGAAGACGTTTCACTTCTCATCCAAGAGGCTTCTTCAGAGCTGAAGGCGCTTGAAGCACCTGAAGGCCAGACAAGCAATAATGGAGGGAAACTGATCAAGGGGAGAGATTCAACCTGGAAATAAGGAGAAACTTTCTGACAGTGAGAACAATCAACCCATGGAACAGAAGTTGCCCTCGGAAGTTGTGGGAGCGTCATCCCTGGAGGCCTTCAAGAAGAGACTGGACTGCCATCAGTCAGAAATGGTGTAGGGTCTTCTGCTTGGGCAGGGGGTTGGACTAGATGACCTCCAAGGTACCTTCCAACTCTGTTAATTTGTAATCTGATTATCTGTATTGTATCTTACTGCTTGTAGAGGAGCTCGAAGCTGCCCCCACTTACTTCCCCCACCCCAACAATACAGGCAGTCCTTGACATTCACCCATTCGGGAGAATAGTTTCACTTAACGACCATGATGACTCACTTTATAACTAGCCATTAAATTGAATCCATTCACGTGGTGCCTCGACTTAACAACTGCAACGACTCTTGCTTGAAAATTCCAGACTGCATTATGGTCATAAATTGAGGACTAGTTGCTCTGGGGAATTGCACCCAATCCTACCATCAAAAGCTCGGATATGGGACTACAGAATCTCAGCTGCTTTCTCCAGGAGGAGCCTAATCTACCATTGGCCAATCAGGAACCAGCAGGGTGTGGCTTAGTCATTGCAGCCAATCAGGGCTTGGGTGTGTTCTCTGTTGCCAGGCTTCAGCAGCGAGTCCCTGATGGACAGACTTGCTTCTTCTGCTCTTTCTCTTCATCTCTCTCTCTTGGAGGACTATGTAAGCAAAAAAAAAAAAAAAAAAAACCCAGTTAATAATGAACTGAAATTAAATGTCTCCAAATAAATTTTGAGCAGGGTGGAATCAGTTTAATCCTGTTAACTATCTGGGGCTAGTTTAGCCCTCTGCAAATAATCCTGATTCCACCTAGAGTTTCCAATTCAGTAAGATGCGTGTGATTTTTAAAAACTAGGTTAGTAAATTACGGCATATTATTTCTCTGTCTTCCAGTCTGTTGTCAGTACATCATGAAGGTGTCAATTGATTGGGAAATAGGGACAGGTAGTCCTCAACTTGCAAACTGTTTAGTGGCCATTCAGAGTTACAATGGCACCTTAAAAAGTGACTTCTGACCAGGTCTATGTTTTTTCACATTTATGACCGTTGCACCATCCCTGTCGTCATGGGATCAAAATTCAGGTGCTTGGCAACTGGCATGCCCTTAACGAATTGTTGGAAGAAACGTCCATCTGGATTCAGTTCCAAAGTGGGGAAGAAAGACCCCAGAAACATGGTCATTGCTTGGAAAGATGGTTTAATGGTAGACAGGACCACATGCCTTGGAGCTCCAAAGAAGGAAAGGCTGAGATGCTGAAAGTGCCTGGGTTTTATACCCTCTGTTGGGATTTGAATTTGAGCTTGTATTCTGATTGGTTGTCAGGCTCCCATGAGGCCGTGCAGGGGCAACTCTGTAGGCTGTCTCGAGTCCCAGGCTTGGTTGAGCCTTGCTGGATGATGATGTAATGAAAGGGCTTTGGGCAATTCCTATTATAGCTCTACCTGGAGTAGGTCTTTGTTATGTAGAATAGACTGGCTTAGGCTGGAGTAATGTCCCATTAGCAAAGGTGTGGAGGCGGGGCAACTCTGTAGGCTGTCTCGAGTCTCAGGCTTGGTTGAACCTTTGCTGGATGATGATGTAATGAAAGGACTTTGGGCAATTCCTATAATAGCTCTACCTGGAGAAGATCTTTGTTATGTAGAATAGACTGGCTTAGGCTGGAGTAATGTCCCATTAGCAAAGGTGTGGGGGGAGAGGCTGAGTTTCTGCTTCTGAGTTTCTACTCTTTTTAGGGGAAATATTCTGCCTTTTTAACATTTCCTAGGATATTTCATTCTTCTAGGAGTCGGGTGGGTGCTAACTTCCTACAGACGGTTGCAGTGTCCTGGGGTCATGCTTTGGCGACCTTCCTTCTTCCGATGAGGAAGCCAGATTCTCTTAACCATCGTATTAATGATTTAACAAATGAAGTCATTCACTTAACAACTGTGGCAAGAAAGGTCCTGAAATGGAACAAAAACTCACTTAAACAACCGTCTTCCTTAGCAACAGAAATTTCGGGCTCAGTTATGGTTGTAAGCCGAGGTCTAAATGTCTATGGAGAGTCTCAACCATCCGGGCCATGGTTCTCCCAAAGGTGCTATTTTTTTTTTTTCAAGAGGCAACTGGACTTTCTTTGCTTTTTTCTTTTGAAGACGTTTCGCTTCTTATCCAAGAAGCTTCTTCAGCTCTGACTGGATGAGAAGCGAAACGTCTTCATAGAAAACCCAGAAACTCCAGTTGCCTCTTTAAAAAAATCAGCTTTGGGACAAGTCGAGGTCTACCTGTAACCACGGATCCTTGAGACTTCCATGAATTGCTCCAACCCTATTTTGGAAGCCAACCAAGCAGCTATCCAGCCCTAAATCTTGCACTGAGTTCCAAAGTTGAATTGCTTATTGTGCAAAAATACTTCCTTTTGTATCTCTTGACTCTTCCAAGGCTCCCCACTTCATTGGATGACCACTGGTTCTCAGGGAGAGAGCAAATCCACTCTCCTCGATCCTCATCATTATATCCCATGTGTTCAGACCAAGGCTTCTCTGAATGCAATGCAAACCATGGTTATGGCTTCGTTATCACAATCTCCGTTTGTTTATTCCTGTGTTTTCAGCGAACGTTTTCTCCGTCAATGACATGCTGTGCCTTAATCTTCGGACTGATTTGTGAAAAATTAGGAGACCAGCAGTGTCTCTTAACCTTAGCAAGCTAAGTTTTAGGGACTTCAGCTCCCAGAATTTGGGGAGTTGAAGTCCATACATCTTAGAGTGTCTAAGGTTGAGAATACAAAATGCTTTAAAGATTTGGAAAGGATCAGTAGCAACCGTCACTTATTTACACCCATGCGACATGTGTGTGTGTGTGTGTGTGTGTGTGTGTGTGTGTGTGTGATTGTGAGTTTACCATTTCACGGTAAACTGGAACCGTGAAGACTGGAAGACAGTGGCTCGTAATTTCCAGAAATAGTCATCTGAAAGGGAACGGACTGTCCTTTCATTCCCAATTAAATAAATTAATCAAAGTAATAATGAAAAAGTACATCTTCATACACATAAACGGGAGATCTGGTTATGGATAGGTGCATTTCTCATTAAAAAGTATGCTGCCTCAACTAAGATGCAACCATTGTTTTGGATTATTTAGTCATGAAGGGGAAATGGACTTTTGACATGATTAGAAACTCTTACTACTGTGCACACATTTCACAGTTGGGACTTTTATCACACCACTTCCAAAAGTCTGAGGTTTCCTCCCATTTATGCGACTAAACGTTAAGGTACCAGACTAAAAACAAGGAAACAGTGAGTTCTAGTCCCACCTTAGATCTGAAAGCCAGCCGGGTGACTTTCGGCCAATCACCAGGAGACAGTGAGTTCTAGTCCCGCCTTAGATATGCAAGTCAGCCGGGTGACTTTCGGCCAATCATCAGGAGACGGTGAGTTCTAGTCCCGCCTTAGATATGAAAGTCAGCCGGGTGACTTTCGGCCAATCATCAGGAGACAGTGAGTTCTAGTCCCGCTTTAGATATGAAAGTCAGCTGGGTGACTTTCAGCCAATCACCAGGAGACGGTGAATTCTAGTCCTGTCCTAGACATGAAAGCCGACTGGATGACTTTGGGCCAATCACCAGGAAACGGTGAATTCTAGTCCCGCCTTAGTCATTAACTTGGTGGCTTTGGGCCAGTCCTCCTCTCTCATCCCAACACACAGCACAAGGTTGTTGTGCGATAATAGGAGAAAAAAGTACATTTGCCCCATGAGTTATTTGTAAAAATAATGAAGACGGGATAATAGGCAAATAATAAAAAGCACATTTAATGTAGCCATAATAATCCTATTTATTTTTGCTTTTTTTTTAAAAAAAAGCATTCAAAATATTTACCTAAAAGAAGAGCAACAGTGAGTTTCTGGAAGCACAGTGTTATGGCTGCAAAGTTGCTGTTTTTTTCCGAGAGAAAAGTAAAGATATGAAGAACGGTTGCAGGAACTGGGCCTGGCTAGTCTAGTGAAGAGAAGGACCAGGGGAGTCATGATAGCAGCCTTCCAATGTTTAAGAGGGGCTGCCACAGAGAGGAGGAAGGGGTCAAGCTATTTTCTAAAGCACCCAAAAGCCAGACAAGGGATAATGGATGGAAACTGGACAAGGAGAGATTCAACCTGGAAATAAGGAGAAACTTTCTGACAGTGAGAACAATCAACCCATGGAACAGAAGTTGCTTTCAGAAGTTGTGGGAGCACCATCACTTGAGACCTTCAAGAAGAGATTGGACTCCCATCTGTCAGAACTGGTGTAGGTCTCCCGCTTGGGTGGAGGGTTGGGCTAGATGATCTACAAGGTCTCCTCCAACTCTGATGATCTGTTCTCTGTTATATAGGTCAATTGGTCCAGTTCTCCCAAAGCTGCCCAGCTGTTCACTTTGGAAAAATGGCTTTGATCGGAGCCAGCAACTCTAGCCAGACACCCTTAAAACATTTGGTAGGAAATCCGCAGCAGACTATTTTGTTCAGTGACGCCACTGGAAACTTATTTATTGATTTATTCACTCCTGTTTTTTTTTTTAAATAGCTGATTTGTGGAGAGGCTCAAGTGAATCTTTAATAACAGTCCCAAATGCAGGATTTTGGAGAGGTTTCTTGGACCCGGGCCCAGCTATCCGGTTGCTACACAGGGGTACAGCTGGGTTGATGCTTGGATGACAGGCCAGGATAACCCAGGACTGTGAAAAACAGTCATAAGTCACGTTTTTTCAGTGCCGTTGTAACTTCCAACAGTCACAAAACAAATGGTGGCAAGTTGAGGATTACCTGTACGACACACTTTTCCTCATGAGCCAGATAACGGATAACAGATTAACAGAGTTGAAAGAGACCTTGTAGGTCATCTAGTCCAACCCCCTGCCCAAGCAGGAGACCCTACACCATTTCTGACAGATGGCAGTCCAATTTCTTCTTGAAAACCTCCAGGGCTGAAGCTCCCACAACTTCTGAAGGCAAATTTCTGTTCCATTGGTGGATTGTTCTCACTGTCAGAAAATTTCTGCTTATTTCCAGGTTGGATCTCTTTCCTTGTTCAGTTTTCACCCATTATTCTCTGTCTTTGGAAAATAGCTTGACACCCACCCACCCCCATTCCTCTCTTTGGCAGCCCCTCAAATATTGGAAGACTGCTATCATGTCTCCCCTGGTCCTTCTCTTTACTAGACTAGCCAGGCCCAGTTCCTGCAACCGTTCTTCCTATGTTTTAGTCTCCAGTCCCCTAATCATCCTGGTTGCTCTTCTCTGCACTTTTTCTAGAGTCTCAACATCTTTTTTATAATGTGGTGACCAAAACTGGATGCAGGACTCTAGGTGTGGCCTTACTAAGGCTTTATAGAGTGGTCTTAGTACCTCCCTTGATCTTGATTGTATCCCTCTGTTAATGCAACTTAGGATTGCATTGGCTTTTTTGGCTGCTACTGCAGCAAAACTGCTGCAGCCGAAGTGAGCCAACAGTTTGCCCACTTCTTAGGATTGTGTAATGCAGGGGTGTCAAACTCAAATTTCATTGAGGGCTGCATCAGGGCTGCGGTTGATCTCGGGGTTCCAGACCGGTGTGACCGACTGGGTGGGCGTGGCCAGCCTGATGCCACTCACTGGATATGGCCGACTGGGTAGGCGTGGCTAGCTTGACGCCACTCCCCAAACTTCTGGCATGTTTCCTCTTTGCATTGGGTAGACCGGGCCGAAGTGATGCAGGCCGGCCCCTTACATTTTCCAGGATGGGCCCGCGGGCCTTATGATCCAACTGTCAACTCATAACATATTTCTATGGTCTTTTTAGAGTTGCCAACGGAAAGGGAGGGGGGAGCAGTGCGGCAGCTTGGAAATCGAAAGTGCATTCCATAAATAGTTTTTCAAAGATAGGAACTAGGTGACCGAAGTTTCTGCCAAGCAAAATTCTAACTGGGGAGCATGATTGATGACTCTTGGCTATGGAGGTGTCCCATTGGAGAATATGAATTAGGATACACCCAGGGGCAGGGAGAAAAACAAGGTCAAGGGTGACAATGAATGGTGTGTCCCAGGCAGTGCCGGAAAGTTAAACTCCCAATAAGTCCTTTTTAAGTTTTGGAAGTTTGGCTTGAGACTCATGATTTAAATGAGGGTAACTGCCGGAATCCTGACACCAACCACATCATGGGCCACATCCAACCTGCAGGCCTTGTGTTTTGACACCCCTGGTGTAAGATATTGAATCATTCACCAATTAAACCCATGCATTAAAGCCTCTTTCTAACCCCAAAACTCAACACCAGCCTTGTTTAAAACATGCCGTTCACGGAATCGCTGGGCTTTTCCCAAGACCCAGTGAAGCGAAGGGCTGGACGTTTCCCTAGAAGAGGAATCGGAGCGATAGGATCAGCAGGAGAGGGGAGAAGTCCAGCCGCACTAGGGCCTTGGGCTGATGAAGTGGCTGCCTGGCGCTTTGCTGATAAGGAAAACTAGATTTTTGGGGAGGGAACGTAGATCTCCTTTGGCTGGATTGAGTCATTTCCAAGGAATCTAGAAGGAGGCTCGCTCTTTCTTTCTTTCTTTCTTTCTTTCTTTCTTTCTTTCTTTCTTTCT